AATTACAAGCATAGAATGTGGTTAAATTTCTCTGTTGATGATATAAGAATAGAAATTGTGCACTGTGGTGGTGTGGTAGAGTGTAGTTCCATTGTGGATAAAATTTATTCTGATAAAGTCTCACAGAGTTGTTATAGAGCAGTAATATTTACTGATGACCAAGTTTCAAGCAGAATTTATTGTTTAGTGAACATTACTGTATAACACTTCGCATATGCCAGTTTACGCCGTCTCTGGGGTAGACGTAATATCCGACTATCGACCAAAGGGCGTGTGAACTGCTCAACAGTCCTCTCCGTCCTCCTTTATGGCTAGCTGTGAGTGAGACATGGCCATTGAGAGCGGAAGACATGAAAAGGGTGGCTAGCTGTCTTCGATCATAGGTGTCTGAGTTCTGTCTCCCGTGTGAAGTAGTATAATAAGATGAGCAATATTGAGGTTAGGTGTCGGTCGAGTGCTAGGTAGGTGAGAGGGGAAATCAATCGACGAGACTCTGAAATTACATCGACTGAGATGGTTAGGACATGTGTTACGCATGCATGACTAGCCATCGCCTTCCCCGACAATGGGCAATGTTTGCTGATATAGGGTCAGGTTGGAAAAGAGCTAGCGGCGGTCAAACCAAAACATGGTACCAGTCAATGAAATCCACAACAGTTAGTCTACGCCATGTAGGAAGGTGTAGACTAGCTAACTGACTGGTTGTGGTCCTCGGGACGGTAAAAACCAATGAAGGCTGGAAACAATTGGTGATGCTATGGCTCAAAATTGTTCTCAGTGGCGCAGATGCATCCACTCCTTGTGACTTATGATTTCCAATGAAACTGTTTTGTTCTTCGTTATCACTATTCCTTTGTCTCACCACACCTCTGTTTACTGTCTCTCTTTTGGGCATTTCTCCTACTTTCTTCTCTTGCTTTGTGTGCTACATGGAGTGTGGCGACTTGAACTGCCGCACATCAGTGCAAAATTCTATGCCGAAAACCGATTGACCGACTGTATAACACTATGAAACTTTATCAAAATAAATTTTACCCACAATAGGGAATTATATACATAGGGAATTATCACATTTGAGAGGAAGGTATCCTCTCTGTAACACTTTTCTACACTTTGTATGCATCCTTTTCACATAGATATATGTTGTATTCGATAAACAAACAAAAATGCCACTTTCAAGTGACAGGTAAACAAGAGGTGATTCGCTGAGAATAGCAGTCAGTGGTGCTTAAAGATTAACTTAGCCGTTTTAAGAAATAAAAAAGTTTTTGAAATGAGAAACACCTTAACTAAGTCGTGAGGCGTAGAGTGTTGGGAAAAGAGGGAAAATCAATCGAAGAGGCAATAAAGTCACAAAGACTGAGATGGCTAGGTCACGTGTTGCGCAAGCCTAACCATCGCCTCCCCCTCCCGACGGGCATTACTAGCTGATATATATATGCAGGCTGGAAAAGAGTAAGTGGTGCCATGCCAAACAAAAACATGGCATCAATCAATCCATGAAATCCTTGACAGTTAAACTGAGTCAGTCAGGTAGGGAGATGCAGACTTCCGGATTGGGGCCTGCCCTCGAGACTCTAAGAATCAATCAATGGCTGGAGACAGACAATAGGTGACATGGCTCAAAATCGTTGTCAATGGCTTACGCAGATGTATTCAGTCTCTTGTGTAATCTTTCATATTCCTTTCTACCATTACTCATTCTGTTTCACTCTTATACTTGTCAAAACTCTATTGATTGATTCTCTTCACTCATCCATCTTTTTGTCTACCTTTGTGTGCTATTTGGAACGTGGCAACTCGAAGTGCTGCACTTCGGTGGCAAGTTCTATGTTGAATCCAGCAGCAGCACCGACCCTATGAGAAGTTGAAAATTTGATTTGCAAAAACAGACTAACAATGCTTACCTTTTCTTTTTCTTTTGTTATTACAGAGATTTTAAAAAAATGTTGATACACAATCTTCAATGAATCAGTTTTTCCGTAAGAAAATATGTATCACAGATTGTGTTCACAAAGAAGGATGTGGGTATTTCTACCACAACTCCCAATCGTCCCGACCGATAACTGCTACCTTGCCGCGGTGGTCGGGCTTGAATGCCGCAGTGACCCAACAACCTAAACTGGCTGGGACTCATGTCCCTGCAGGTCCTACCATGTCCGGAAGGTTTTTTGGATAGCGGTTAGACTAAAAGCAGTTACCATGGGGTACATGGGCTCCAGAATCCCATCGGATCAAATGACGTATGAAACCATATAGGTCACCGGCAACCATGAGAATGCAGCTCCTGACGCTGCTCCGCTGCCTTGTGGATTAGACTTTAAGTCAAAGGCTCGGGGGGTGGTCCCCTAGGAAAACCACCTGCTTCGGTCTGGGCGCCCGGGCAGTATCTCAGCCCTCACATAATATTCTGTGGCGCATCTTTCTTGGTGCCATATTGTACCAAGTTTTTCTGCGTTTAAATAAAAAAATAAATAATAAATCGTTAAGGTAGTGATTGATAACAACTGCCAATGATCCTCAAGAAAGCTCTATAACAAAATGTAATTTTTTACACACATTGTAAAAAAATTAAAACACTTCTGAACTGATATTAACTTCTATGCAATTGAAAGATGGAAAAGGGTGGCGATGGGCTCCCCCCTTTGGTCCCATTTTGGCTGATTTCTTTCTAGGTAAGTAAGCTAGAAAATGGACCTTTGAACAACCACCTTATCAGAAATTTCCCATTTTTATGGCTCGTATATATATGGATGACACCATTCGGATAATGATAATGATTCGGATAGGAGTACAACAATTACTGAATTCAATGAAGCACATCACCCGCTTTGAAATTCACATGCGAAGAGGAATCCAAAAACAGAATGAATTGCCTTTCTGGATCCCCGTCTTCCTTACAAGAAAACCAGATGGTAACATAAAAAGAAATTTGCATAGACGAAAGTACTTGGACAGGACAATATACACACATTTTCACAGCTCCGTTCCTCTCAAGTACAAAAGAAATTTAGAGAAGACCCTCACTCGGCCACAGAGTTAATTAGAGCTATATGCTCAGAAGAAGTAACTGAAGATGAATTAAGAAGCATTGTATATGATACCTTGATTGGTCGAAAATAGCTATCCCGACAAATAGCTATCAAGAAACACATGACAAAGAAAGCGGCGGAAAAGGACTACTCACTATCCATCCGTAAACAAGAAGCCTCTTTATATACGACTACAATGCAAGGGTGATCGATAAACCAAATGAGATAGTTACGAAGATACTAAGAAAATCAGTTCAAAGAACTTCTATTGCTGGCGGCGAACTACACGTCTTATTCTCTACACGACTGATGGTGTTACCTCGACTGTAAGATGAAGTACCTAGACTAGACTGGCCACTTTAAATTGCATCTACCAATTCAACTGCAACTGTGCTTGTGATGGAGTGAGTTATATTGGCCGTTGTTGCTCAAGGAACTTGATTTTCGTGCTCACTCGCTCGAGAAAATCTCCCACTATGGCTAAGTAAAGGTGTGTACTGAAAACCACCATCAACAGTTCGATATTGGACCATCTGGTGCAAACCGGACAGCCGGCCACACAGCCAGCCAGCCAGCCAGCGTGGAAGAGTCCTTCTCCACAATCATCATCTACCGGGGATGACTGATTATCTATCAGATGACGAGGAGGTGATGGTGTATAGACTGACTGTTTTTGTAACAGACAGATCACATGAACTGTGGGGGATCAGTGTTCACAGAAAAAATATCAGCTAACGATCAAAATAAAAATACACAATAGACGTTAGCACTATTGGTTATATCCATGGTCCATGAAATTCTTCTGAGTATGAAGTGAGCAGCCAACAAAGCAGGTTCTCATACAATGAGATTCCCTTTTGTATAAATTTGAACAATGAAAGAAGAAACATTATTGGCGCGCAGAATAATCTTGATCCATTTTATTTCGTCGGTTCTCCTCATCAGCAGCTGCGTACAACCTGAATTCTTTAATTAAATAACAACTATAACATTGTGTACATTTTTAACAAACTTTTGTCCATTAGCAAGCATATTGTCAGAGTGTCATAGTGATGAAATAAGGCGTTGTTGCGGTAATTTCTTTCAAGCATTTTTCAAGAAGCATTAGTTCACTGTTTAGTTTGTTTGGTGAACATATTCTCTTCGCTCTAGAGAAAAGCGTTTTCACCAGCGTTCACGTTTGTATCTCATTGGGCAAAAGCAGTTGAAATTCAAGTAAAGACCACTCCATGTGTCTTAACGACATATATAGAGATCTTTCGAATGTCCCATCGTCGTATTTTCTCTTCAACTTTACATCTAAAAAATGGAATTTTTCATCATCTTCATGCTCCATCGTGAAAGTGATGCTTTTCTGTACGTTGTTGAAAGAGTCGAATAGAGACGAAGCGTCGTGACTTAAATCATTGCTTACAAATGAATGTGTCATCAACGTATCTATAGTAGGCTGTTTTGTTTAGCCAATTGCACACTTAAGCTTTGTGTGTTCTATAGACTGGTCATAAAAATATCAGCCAATAATATCGGACCCAGTGGACTCCTCCTCATTGCCACATCACCAACCTGGCGATATATTTTGTTGTCAAATTTCGACATGTCATTCAGAATTGACTCCATTTTTTGGACATATTCAGCTTTGTTCATCACTACCACGCCGGAACCTTTGTCTGGTCGCAGTATGACACTCTGACAATATGCTTGCTAATGGACAAAAGTTTGTTAAAGTTGTACACAATTTTTTATTTGCTATTTTATTAAAGAATTCAGGTTGTGTACGCAGCTTCTGATGAGGAGAACCGACGAAATAAAACGGATTCAGATTATTCTGCGCGCCAATGTTCCCTCTTCTTTCTTTGTTCAAATTAATAAAAAAAGGGAATCATTGTATAAAATTATGTTTTAACAGTCACACACACACACATAAGTATAACTGAAAAAAAAAAATTGAAGCCTATCATGATTACCTACCTGGGAATAATTTTTCCTTCCTTGACACCTAGTCGTACAGTTTCCAGTGCATTTGTAATATCATGTCGACTGTTATACGCCATGCAGATATTAAGAATTGACCTTAATATAATAAACAAAACAAAACAAAGAAAAAATGAAGAATTGGTTTTGTAGGGATGCTTGTTTGATTGCATGGAGGATTTCATTCATCATGAGCTGACATCACAGTTAGAGAACCACTGGAAAACCAACCTGGGAGTACTGGACAGCCAGCTGTTCCTTCAGCCTAGTGTTTGGGACTCTTCATCAGTACGCACCCACACTGAGTTGTTGGAACCCAGGTCCTTCTGGTTACAAGACTAGCTAGCTGGCTTGTAGACCATTTAGCCACTGGGACCCACCCGATCCAATGACCAGCCAGTGCATGAATTCCAACTTCTGCCAATTCACGCACGACATAGCTAGCGCGACCATTTGGCAACGTCTTCTTCGATGAGTGAGTTACTGCCTCATCTACAACCTGCTGTACCCTACTGGTCACGGCTTCCCACTAGAATCTCAGGTCACTCACTGCCTACCTGAATAGGGCCAGTCGCAAGTGAGCATCAGATTAATTTTCAAGTATTGATTTTGTAAAGATTTTGTTTGATTGCATGGAGGATTTCATCATGAGCTGACATCAGTTAAAGAACCACTGGAAAACCTGCAAGGAGTACTGGACAGCTGGACAGACATTGCGAAATGGTCGCGCTATGTCGTGCGTGAAGTTAGAATTCAAGGACCATCGGATTGGGTCCCAGTGGCTTAATGGTCTACGAGCTAGCTCGCCGGCCTTGTAACCAGAAGGTCCTGGGTTGTGTGTGCTGATGAAGAGTCCCGAACTAGGCTGACGAAACAGCTGGCTATCCAGTACTCCCTGGTTGCTTTTCCAGTGGTTCTCACAAACTGATGTCAGCTCATGATGAAATCCTCCATGGAATAAAAAGAAAATAAAGACACCAATCCAAAACTTCTATAAGTGAGATGAGAATTGCGTTGAATTCCTCCGAAAGAAAGGACAGAGGCAATGTCATATATTCATTAAGATTTTTTTGGTTAATAATAATAACTAAGAGGGTATCTTTCTCTGTCTGTCTCTCTACATAACACAGGAGATGGAATATCAACATGAAATTTATTTAATTCTCTTCAGCAAATTACCCAAAACAAACATACCGAAGAACATGGAGAGAAAGGGCAAAGTTAAACTGTAAGCACCACTAACTAACCAACCAACACCAATCAGCGAGCGAATGACCTTGAATAACGCACCAATCACGTGAAGGGGGCATTTTTGTGTGTCTACAGAATACACATATATATTTATGGGGAAAAATTGCATAAAAACTGTGTGAAAGCGTCAGAGGGGATAAACAGCTCTCAGTTTTAGGTTGGAGTATCAACGGAGAATAATTCCCCATTGTGGGTAGGTAGAATTTCATAGTGTTATACAGTAATATTTCCTGAGCAATAAATTATGCTCGGAACTTGGTCATCAGTAAATATTACTTACTGTATAACAAAACTGTGAGACTTTATCAGAATAAATTTTACCCACAATGGGGAACTATACTCTACCAGAACCACAGTGCACAAGTTCTATTTTTATATCAACAGAGTAATTTAACCACATTCTATGCTTTTAATTATTTAGGTCTTCTAACCCTAATCTTTCCTGAACCTAACCCTAATGTGAAAAGATCCCTAAACTAACTAACTGTAATCTAACTTGTCCTTGGCTTAAAGCGTAACCAAATCCTTCAAAAAAATCCAAGCTGAAACTTGCTAAAAGTCCCATTTTATAGCATAACACTTCAGGGGGGATATTTTATTGATGATGACAACATTATTTATTTGCCAGGTCTCACTAACAACTTGCTCAGTGAGCGTTTCGAGGTCATTGGTGTGCGGTCGTACTCCATTATTGGTAGTAGTTAGTGGTGATGCTTAAAGTTTAACTTGACCGGAGAAAGATCGGTGACACGTTGAGGAGACCATGTGTAATCATCGAGTGGGATGTGAGTAGGAAATGACACGTTGGGTGTTCGGAGATGACATAATGGAAATTGTGGGTGTGTGTGTGTGTGTGTGTGTGTGTGTGTGTGTGTGAGGAAGAGAGATGAGAGCTTACAGACAATCCTGGAGCCATCCTAAAGAGGACTGAATAAAAAAAACAGGATGACAATGAGATGAGGAGTTGTTAAAACTCCGATGTTCTACTCGGAACCCAATAATAATAATAAATAATAAACAATTACATATATATATGTATATATATCACCAATGATATTCTCAATTGTGATGGACTGGATTATGCGTCAGACAGTGGGAAACGAGAAGACAGGAATATCCTGGACCGATGTGAAGAACCTAGAAGACCTGGATTTCGCGGATGATTTATGTTCGATGTCACACAAAATCAAAGACTTACAAGCGAAAACCGACAAACTGGTTGAAGAAGCAGCAAAGACACGACTCCAGGTTAACACAGACAAGACGGAGGTTATGAAAATAACCAACAACAACAGCAACATCCAGCGCCAATCACCATCAACGGGAGGGATTTGAAAGAGATTACTTCATTCACTTATCTGGCTAGGGAGCATTGTCTCAACTACAGGAGGAACGGACGGACGAGGATGTCAAATCGAGAATCGGGAAGGCGGGAAACACCTTCATCAACCTGAAACCAATCTGGAAATCTTCGTCACTCAGCATCAACAGCAAAATTCGGATTTTCGATACAAACGTCAAGTCAGTCAGTTCTTCTATACGTACGGATCAGAAACTTGGCGGCGGGTCACAAAGAATATTTCCAACAGCCTGTTGCAGACCTTTATCAACAACAACTGTCTTCGCTCTATGCTGGAGATGAGATGGCCGGAAAGAATCACAAACAAGAAGCTATGGCAACAAACAAAACAGGAACCAATCGCTCAACAAATATGCAGGAGAAAGTGGAGATGGATTGAACACTCGCTGAGGAGGCCGTTCGGTGACATCGCGCATCAGGCCCTCGAGTGGAAGCCGAAAGGCAAGCGGCGAGTGGGACGTCCAAATGTGACATGGAGGAGATCGTGTGAAGAGGAACTGAAACAGTATGGATTAACATGGGTGCAAGTGAAAAGTACAGCAGAAGACAGAAGCAAGTGGAGGCGTGCAGTTGAAGCCCTATGTTCCACTAGGAACCCAAGGGAACAATAATAATAATTATTATATATTATTATATGGTTTAAACATCCTAACTGCTTAACAGCTAGGGCTAGCTTCCACAAACTTTAGGATACGCTCTGCCCCAAACACCTTTTTATAGGTACCTTTAGGAATATGCTCTGAAGCTAGTCCTTACCTACAGAGATCGATGAGTCCTCCCTATGTATGAGTGTCCACTCTACAACTCTTCCCTAAGAAAGATGTGTACATCAAGCTACCCTATATGGGCGAGGCATCATAGCAGCTTGATAACTAGACAAAGATTGAACGCCGTTGTGGTTAAAAAGACTTTTTATGCAGTGAATATAACGATAATTGAGAATGTGAAGCTGACATATCCATCCATCTAAGCCCTTTCAGCATGCGAAAAATGATGTCACATTTCACTGTATCTACCAGTTTGAATGTATGTGTGGACACACACACATGCATAGGGAGGACTCATCGATTTCTGCAAGTAAGGGCTGGCTTCACAGCATATTTCTAAATGGCTCCAGAAACAAATGGAATCTTCCGAACCCATTAATGGTGAGAACAGACGAAGACTTAGCTCCTCTATTGCGAAACATCTTACAGAGAATACAGGATATAAAATTGACGTTAACACATCTTTTAAACGTATCTATCTAGAAAAGCGTGTTTCGTGGAGGGCGTATCCTAAAGTTTGTGGAAGCTAGCCCTAGCTGGCAGTTAGGAAGTTCAAACCACCTTCATGCGTTCAAAGCAGCAATTCGTCATCACACTAACTAAACCTACCTTCCTTGTTGGTGGTTAACTTTGTTTTGATCGCCACCAGCCAGTGCAGATGTACTACTATGTTACCTCTGTAATTTGGTTTAGTCGTTCATTTTCATTGTTATTTTCACCTTCAATATTTCCACGTATGCATGACATTCCTATGACAAGTCCGTCTGTGTGTGTGTGTGTGTAGTGGATCAGATTGTTCGAAATGTGTGTTGCACGCAAAGATGCACATTACACGCGCGCACACACACACACACAAACACACACACACACACGATTCAGACAGACAAATTAGGTCTTCCTTCTTACTTATTGCTTTAACTAATCTATTCGTTATTATAATGTGAATAAAAAGAATTTTGAAAAAGCAAATCACAGCATAAATGGTGTTACATATATAACACATTCGAACTACAAAATTTAAAACAATCAAATATAGAAGAGAAAAAACCCAACGCTACACTGACTCACTCACCTTGTATGATTTCTGGTTTCAAGCATTAACTGTGCTGCTAAATGCTGAATCCTCAATGGAAGTAATGTCAAATTGCCAATAACACGTATACAAATATCATCCGCTTTCAGCTCATCTCTAAATGGGAAACAAGAGTATTCATCACAGGAGAAAAGAACACTAACTTGTTATCTAATAATTCACAAAGTTTCTCTTCTGCCAGATTCATTAAGAATGAAACTTCTTCTGGTGATCGGTTGAAATTGTCAATGCTAAAAGTGAAAATTGACACTTCTTCAATGCCTACATCACGACACCACTGTAAAGTCTACAATAAATTAAATAAATAAAAGAATAAATAAATAAATAAACTAATTAATCAATGAACAAAGAAATGAATGAATGAATACATAAATGAATAAATAAGAAAATAAATGAATGAATTATTAAATAAATGGATAAATAAATAGATAAATAAATGAATAAATGAATGAATTAACTAATTAATTAATGAATTAATCAATTAATCAATTAATTAATCAATAAACGAATAAATTAATAAATAAATCAACAAATGAATGAATAAATGAATCAATCAATAAATGAATAGATAAATAAATAAACGAATAAATAAATAAATACAGAGCCAAAGAAATATATACCTCAGAAAGTTTTGAAAATCCATGTAAATGACCATCAGACTTTCTCATCATTCTACGATCAGCAAACCGTCTGTTCCCATCCATAATAAAAGCGATGTGCTTTGGAACTGGTCCATGCTTAATGGCATGCATACACATTCTTTGTAAAATGCCATAATTCACCTCTGAACGAGTCCACGTCATTTTAAAAAAACGACTCTCTGTTAAAAGAAAATGATTAAAAAAAACACATTGCTTGCTGCTGTAGTAAGAAATCTTGTGGCCATAGATAAAATCTTTATTACACAGAGAGAGCTTCCTTTGTATAGGTGTACCGATAGTACGATAGCCCTCCCCCCCCCCCCGACGGGCATTACTAGCTGATATAGGTGCAGGTTGTTAAAGAGTAAGTGGTGCCATGCCAAACAAAAACATGGCCTCAGCAATCCATGAAACCTCTGACAGTTAAACTGAGTCGGGGCCCTCGGGACTCTAAGAATCAATGGCTGGAGACAATAGGTGACATGGCTCAAAATCGTTGTCAATGGCTTACGCAGATGTATTCAGTCTCTTGTGTAATCTTTCATATTCCTTTCTACCATTACTCATTCTGTTTCACTTTTATACTTGTCAAAACTCTATTGATTGATTCTCTTCACTCATCCATCCTCTTGTCTACCTTTGTGTGCTATTTGGAACGTGGCAACTCGAACTGCTGTGTAGAATGCTGAAGACTGTCAGGCAGTGGGGTGAGTGGTGTCCCAGTGGACTACATAGTTAACGTCGTTGTCGATAGGCACTTGACTTCGTGCAGTAAATTTGCTAAAGGGATTTTGTCTGACTTGGAGCATCCACCACAGCACCCTCAGCTTTCATCTTGCATCTCCTCAGGTAGAACAAGAAGTAACTTCAGAAAACTGTATGCTCGCACGTCTAAGTATAAATATTCTATGATGCCATACTTGGCACGTATTTTATGTGATGAAAATAGTGTCAGGCAAGAATTAACTAACCTTTTTTCATCTAGTAAATAAACAATCTCCTCCATCCATCCATCTTTATATACCTTCAAGTTTTACTTTTATTATTCTTATTATATTTATGGTCCTGTTGCTTCTTTGTCCTACTTTCATAATTGCAAACATCAACTTATATCTATGACTGCTGTAATCTTTGTTTTTCCCCTCACCATATCACGTAAAGAGAACATTATATTCAATATTTTTCTAACCATGCTAGGATTTCTATACCGCATCGACAATACTGTGTGAAACAAGCCCACGGCAATTTTCACTTGTATTATTATTATTACCTTAGCTGTTATCATTACTATTATTTCTATTTTATATGCTGCATGTTTTTGACATTACCCCTATTGTAAATGTGGAAATTTTCCTGTGTGATTAATTTTATTTATAATTTGAGGAAATTAGATGCAAGATATTGTGATAAATGCTGAAATAACCATTCTGTATCACAAGTACTGTTTTTGGAATAAAGTAAATTATTATTATTATTACAAAACAACATTCTTTTGTAAATACACAAACATTCATGATATTATAAAACCAGTGAAATTTGAAATACACATATATTTACAAATAATTAAAAATGTATTTACAATGTGTGTACACTACAAACGGTTTAAAGAAGGGTTACAGTCACTTGAATTCGACAACACAGGGTAACGCTGAGAGCGAATGCGCGTTCACATCTAGTAGCTCTCTATACCCAGTGCCAACAGCGTCCACTGCAGCTGCCCTGACCCCCGCTCGCCGTGACCGTTCAAGAACCCAACGGAGCCCGAATGGAAACGTCATCAGTCGCTGCTATTATTGCCAACGATACGGGAAGAAGGCCCGTATATGTGGTCACAATCGCCAGCCGAATCGCAGTAATTCCCCCGCTTTTAATTTATCTACATATTCTTGTAATCGGCAACCCTTGATGTTATGACATATTAATGGAGTGCCATCTAGAGTACTCTTAGACACTGGTGCGTCGGTATCCATCGTAAAGACTTCTTTCCTTCGACGCTTGCCCCAGTACTCATCGCCGGTAGCCACTCACAATGTCTTGACGACAGTTAACGGTGCTAAACTGGAAGCCCGATCTGCTACAGACTTACAGTTGCACTTTGGAGACCTAAATGTGCGCCATCAGTTTCTCATCTGTACCCGGCCGAAAGCTGCTACCTTGACGTGGTGGTCGGGCTTGAGCACCGCAATGACCCGACAGGCTATACTGGCTGAGACTTATGTCGCTTGAGGTCCTACCATGCCAGAAAGGTTGTTTGGATAGCGGTTAGACAAAAAGCAATTACCCAACCCAACGCTATGACTCAAAGTAAATCACAAAATATCACGCCGGATCGGTCGGGGCCCTGATTAACAACGACCGCGCTTCCTGCTGCCGTGTCACAGGGTAGAAGTGATAGATATGCTACTGACACACCGAATGAAAAAGAAAAAACAAAAACAGGCCGTGTGTGACTGGCCTCAAGCAGTTGTCCCCTGGGCTCTGCGGTCACGCAACCAACTGACCTCATCAGACGTCAGAAAGTCTACACCTAGGATGAAGTGTCACTAGGTTTTGAGGTACACATGGATGTCTGACGCAAATGGGGAAGCAAAGGGAACCATTCAAATGGCTTATAGCTTCTAGCCTCACATAAGTGAAACAACAACATAGACGTTATATACTATATTATCTTCGCCACAGAAAGAATCGAAGCGCCTTCAACAGATTTCATCACCACACTCTATTCATATCGTGGAAGTAATGGGAAAAATACTTTGGGTGAGTTAAAATATTAAAAAACAAAAAATAACGAACTAGTAGAGAAAATTATCATAGCAACGTGGAGGTTAAACATGCTTTAAGTTAGCCACTGCTAAACCCAAGCTTACGACAACTCTAAACTTATTCTAACCTTTGAGTCGACAATGCCTTTTTATGGTAAATGAAGATTTTATATATCCACTATGTTCTGAAATAACGCTAATCGTGCTTAAAAAGAGAGCTGGGTGCTGAATTAAGTCTTGTCGTCCTAAAGTAACGCTGGTCTGTGTATAATATGTCCTGTGAGGACTGGAAAAGCGCTGATAAGCAAACCCAGTAGGTTCTGATCTACTCTTGAAAATGCGTAGAAAAAGAACACGGTGCTGAATTAGTGCTAGGCTTGCTGAAAACCTGCACTGAGTTCTAGTCTGTGCCATTAAAGAACCCATTTCAGAACAGATACAGAAATTACTCACTATAGAATGTTAGAATTATTACAGGATTATTAAGATTTAGTTCAGCATTATAATAAGCTTGGGAATATAAAAAAGCAGTTGACATTCAGTAGCTTTCCAACGATTTACCTCATTAAATTTGCGGAACTTATGTTGGAATACGTAATGTGTCAAATGCTGACGTTAGTTAAGTAATCGGGAATGGTATGATTCACACTGCGAAATTTGGGCTACCGATATCACATACTAAAATTTCCATACTTGTACCAAAAATACTGTGTGGTTTCAAACTATAATCAAAATAAAAAATACCATACACACCCTCGCTGTAGCGGAAATATTTTAAATGAGCGCACTGATGTACAATGTTCCAATATGTATTCAGCACAAATTAGCTTTTTTAATTGAGATTATAAGGTTTAAGCAGATAGACGCTTCCCTGGGATATCAATTAATCTCTGCCTTAAACACGAAAGAAAGCATAAATTCCTAACTTAGGTATTCTTCTTGTCGGATCTATTATCCAATTTCGTTTCTTTTTCCAGGCAAATGTAAATAGATTTCAGGTCTTTATTCTCGCTTCTCAGGCGTGAGGTGAAGGCGCCCGGTCCTTAGTTTTTTTAATTTTAACTTTGCTTTGTGGCAAACTGTAGCTTATTTTTGTAATCGTTATGTTGTGGAGTTGAATCCTCTTGAGTATGTTTATTTTTATTCAAACTCATTTCATTTCATAAGGTTGTCGAAACGGAACTGTCAGGGGTTTTGACAGTTGCTAATAAAAAGCAATAATGTTTGACCTGCTTGAAAATTTGCCTTTTAAACTGATACACATCATAAATTTGAAAATAAATATTCATGAATCGTGTATTAAACATACTGCTGTTACATGTGAAAATATTTTTATAATATTATATAATCGTTTTCAGAAAGCCGTAGTGATCCTTACCATAGCACAGTTTCCGTTTTAGGCTGGGATTCCATCTTGATGAATATGCTATTGAAAAATCAATGACCCTGTTCCACTGATTGTGAATCCGAAGTACGTTTCACCTTGATTTCACTGAGAAACATTGATAAATGTCCCTTCATAAGCACGTGATCATTTCCCATGTGAAAATAAGGTGTGGCAGGTGTCATTGTCGTATCTCGAAATGAGTCGTTGTATTAACCAGTATTACCGTCATTACCTCTAAAACCTACAGCCAACATGAAAAACGTATGCCCTTATACTTCTGTTGCTTTGTACAGTTGAAATAGTCTACGGAATGATAAAAACGTGTTCATATTATCTCGCTACATTTACTGCCCCGCTTGAACACTACCATTGGCTCCATGATGTTCCTGCCTTCGTTTTAGTACGTTAATCATCATACAGAGTGGATGATGACTGTGGAGTTACTGGAAAAAAATGTCATTGTCCACCAGTACGGCTTTCTATACTGCTCGAATTAGGTTCTGGTTTCGCTAAAGTGACACATACTTTGCAGATCCATTTAAATAATACTGTAGCAACTTAATCACTTACTGCTGCCAACAAATTTGACAAGAAAATTGTCTAGACACCTTTTTCTGGTTGTGATACCGGGAATGTATTAACTAATTACACAAAGCACCCTCCTCATTTACCGTTGTGTTTATCTATTTATGGATACTTATGACTTCTTTTGGCATTTCGGGTCGGCTGTGAGATTTATATTTAATTATTGTGGACGTTAGCATGGGTATCTTGTAACGAATAGACCTGATACTTATGGAGACGATGTACGGTTCCCCATTTAGACTGAAGGGTGTATAGGAATCCCGTGTTTACGTTTGTCATGACGGGTCTGTGCAACATGAAACGTTTATTCTTTGCTCACGCGTAAATATCGGTCCACTGAACTATCCTATGGGTGAGTTGACAGAAGTCAGGTAGCGTTTACAACATCAAATTCAGTATTGGATAAAGTCATGTCCTGTCCAATACAC